TTAAACTGCATGGCCTCAAAATTGGATTTGAAGGCCATCTTTGGAAGGAAATTTCCTTCCCTTAATAGGATGCTAACTTGCTCCATTTTGAACCCCTCTTTTTCGAACCTTTCTTGTCGGCTATATGCTAATGAGTCGATTGATGTAAAAATAACCCCTAAAGCCTCAACATCGTTGAGCCACATATCTGCCTTGATGATTGAAAATATTTCTCTTGTAGACTTTCTTCAAATAATGAAGAGTAGAATATTGGCAACCGATTTTTCAACAATAGATCCAACTTGTAGCGTGCAAGTTGATACGTCCAAACTACTAGTGGCAAACACTACTGGGCCATTTGAAAAACTATATGAAATACATTTTGTATTAACAAATTTGGGACCATTAAAAGCTGCCTTCAGCAGCTGCACGCTACCTCTTTTGGAAAATTTATACAACCACGGCTATCTAAGCTCATGTCCAAATGGAGTAATTGAAGCGATCACCTACGGCCTCATTAAATGGTGTCCCGTTACGGTTCTTCACGATGTAGCGATTTATGTTTTCCAGCCTTCAGTGAAAAATCCACCTTTTACCAAGATCCCAAGTCTCAGGTATCTTCTTTCTATATTCAGACAGAACCTTATACCACCCTGTTCAGTGGAAACTGATGATGGTCGTGTCCTTTCAGAATTCCAGTCCAAGGTTATTGAAAACATCCTCCATAGACTGACGGGATCTTACAAAAGGATAGGGAAGATCTCACCGTTGACCATATACCAGAGTATCCGTACTCAACGCCTTCAGCTGAGTCAGAAAAGCCACCGGATTATATCTAAGGCCTTATGCGATCATGGGTATGAATATTGTTTGCAGCATTTCAAAGAGTATGAGGACATTATTCTTGCAGACTTGAATGCTTCTTCGACCATTTTGATAGCACTAGTCGCCACTAATAAGCTAGGGTCTCTTGAAGATGTATGTAAAAAACTCGTCGCCAAGCATGGAGAATCGCCCGTTTTTTATTCAACGCTTACTTGCGCTTTTCTCAAGGTGCATCAATATGACTATGCTTATGATATCTTGTCAAAATTCCAGGGATCTTTAAGTGAGGAGCAAAGTGAGCCTATTTGTTACCAACTTTCAATAGCTTCTCTTATGTCTGAGAAACATGCTTCCTTTAACAATGCCTTTTCCTCGAGTAAAAAAAACTGCATATCCTCTTCGCAGTTGGAGTCGTTTGTAAAGTTTTTCGTTGACTTTGATACTGGAATTCCCTTTGCATTGGGATCAAACTTTCCCTTTCTTCTTTCCATATTATTTCGACTTAACCCAGTTAAGGCCCAGAGGGCATTGATTTGGTTCAAGGAGCAGCCTGTGGAAATAAAAGAAAGCATCAAGTTTGCACAGATCCTTCTGTCTCTTTCATTGATGTTTTTGTCGTTGATTCCAATCAAATGGAGGAGCCAATTTTTGCCATTTCTTTTTTCTGTATTTCCCGTAAATGAAAGCCTCGGATCTACGCCGGTCCTATCTTCTTTTGTCAGCGATGTTTTTAGCGAAAGCCCCAATCTATTGTTCTCCTTCTTTAAGCTTGCTGAAAGGTCATGTAAAATCGATTGGGATCAAGGTGCAGCCCTCTCAAACGCCATCTATTTCTCCATTGTGAATGGATATTTACAATCCGATTATGGGCTACTAATTAGGGTTTTGAAATTTTTATTAGCCAACGTGTATTTTAAAGAGCCGACTCTCGCACGCAATATTGACGATTTTGATATTGACGATGTGTATCAGAAAAAAATTTCGTCTCAACTGCTTAATTCAAATGTAATAGCGCCCCTTCACGTGCACAGCGTTCTCTCCGATATCTTACTGCAGGCATGTGTCCATTCATATCAATTCGAGCTGTTGACAACAGCCCTCAATACATTTAAAGATCTTAGACTCGGTTTTAATAACCACTATTTTGTTCTTGCTGAGATTCTAAACGATCTTCAGACGACATCTGCTGGTGACTCGAACTTTAGAATAATCCCAAACGATACCTTGCTGTATGAGTTGGCCAATACCATATCTCCAGACATTCTCCTTGCTTCTACTGATATTGGGGACAATGCAACCCTGTATGATATATTAGAGAAGGAATTAAACATAAAAACGGTGGGAAACATCCGTGCTTTGTTCGAGTTAGACGTTGAACAGATCCCTTCTTCACTCGACTGTTTTAAAGCAGAAATGGCCAAGCTTTCTTTATTACTTGCCTTGCCAGAGGAGCTGGAGACTAGCCCCTCGCTGCCAATTATTCTTGAGCGTATTAAGATCAACCCAGCTCCTCTTCGCTTCTTAATTCCCTTAAGAAGCTGAATGTATCTTTAATATTTAATAAAATATGGAATGATATTTTATTAATCGATTAAACGCCCAATGGCAAATATTGATCAACTTTTTTCTCATCGAGCCTTTCATCTGCATGTGTAACAACGGCAATGCAGAGGTATATAGTGAGGAAGAAAATCGAATCGCCAATGGTGGAAACGACTGGAAGGGCAGTATTTGTAAGTGAGTATGGAAGCAACTTTGTCCACTTGACAATATAAAATGGCAGGGATATCTTAATGTCTTCCCTGAAGAAACAAATGGCCTTCCACAATATTATAGGCCCGGTATGGCTTCCAGCATCTGATGAAGAGGTGTAAATGGAGGAAAAGTACCAGGCTAATATGCCAAACAGAATTATTTGTACCAGACCAGAGTTGGCCATGTGAGTTAGGAAGTTTAGGGAATGCTCAAATACATTTGCCGCTTCATAGAAACTTTCATTTATATCCCCAAATTCGGAAGGAGAGTTAGGGGAGAATTTGGACAAAATATTGGTTTTTTTACCGTGATTCGATTTAAAGAAAGCTGACGGCCCTCCATTTGAATAGATGTAAGATGTATATCCGGTAAGAGTTAGAATTAACATGAAGCTGTTTCCTGTTCTTGGCAGATAGAGATATAAATCTCGAACAACTCGACGAGTAAATAGCCATAAACTACACGCCAATATATAACTAGCGAACGAATTTATCTTAATGGACGTGAAAACAGACTGTGCAAAGAAGCAAGCCATGATATAGCACAAATATTGATCGGGTTTTATAAGGAGGGGATCAATAATTCTAATGCGTTCTTTTATCGATGTGGTCATGGGATGAAGTATGGCTGAATAAAGGAACCCTTTCTGTAGAATAAGAACTACAGCTGCAACAAAAAAAGGACGGCTATAAACCCATAAACTTGGATGCTCAAAGAGGGGAGCAGCTGAACGAGCTTTAGTGGTACGTGCATCAAATTCGGACTTGTGAAGCAGAGCTAATGCTAAAAAAGATGCAGCTGGGATAATAATAAGGGATGAAAATATTCTTTCAAGAATTGGAGTCGATTTAATGTAAAAAAACATATAATCGTCGACCAGTGTATCATATGCAGTTATTTCATCACAAGAGGGGGTCCTAGCATCGAAAAATGGCATAGGGGTTTTGTCAATCTCTGAAGGTTCGCACAAAATAACCGAAATAAGAACCAAAGCGGCGAAGACAAGCTTTAACTGATGCATTCGTTGAAAATTAATCATCAATCATTTAACAAATCACGTTTTACGGTTAATTGAATTTAAACTTGATGATTGGATAGTAGTTTACAAAATTAAAATTAAAATAAAACTCAGGCTCTTGTTTGATAGGCAACCTCCGTCTTTAAATTGCAGTGGTGCTACTTTGATCTGCAATGCTATTTTGGGAGGCCGATTGAGATGGTTTTAAAGCTGGGGTCTGAAAAAGTTCAACCTTTTGAATGGGAGGGGCATAGGATATGTTTAATTCCTCCATGGTTTCTTTGATGAATAATAGGAGTTTCGTTCGTCTTGCCAACTGAGCTTCCAAATCCTGCCAATTGGAACGGTGCTGCACAAGAACAGCCAGATGTATTCGATTGACATTTTCGATAAACTCTACATTTAGCAAAAATTGCGAGGTAAAGTCGTTCCTTTCTTGCGCCAAAAAGGTAGAAATCCGTGTGCGGAGAGCAGTAAGAGCAGCGGTTGAGGTATTAAACGCAATTTGTAAATAATGTCGATCAAATAGGGCCCCACTTCTTCGAACATTGATTATCGGCTTTGTGGCAAGGACATAGTTTGGAATGTATATTCTTGCCCCATCCCAACGCTCAAAGACGGTAGTCATTAAATGCATTTGAAGGACCACGAGATTTTCCAGTGCTCCAGATCCTGGAGAGGCATTAGTAAACAAGGCGCCACCAGAAGGCATAGAAATTGGCGGTACAGGACCGGTTCCCCCTGCTAGGGATATAAAGACGCGGTCTCCAATGTCAAATGGGTGGACGACAAAGAGAAAAATGATCGATTCAAATATGTTTTTCGCACTGCTTCCAAACATAAAAGCTGCACCAAAAATCAGGGAAGAGACAGAGGTCAAGGCAGCCAAAAAGTCTCCAAAAAGCAATGCAAGAAATACTAGCAACAGAACAAGGCAAATTATGGAACAGCAAATATTCAAGTTAGAAATGGCAGCCTCCATCGAAGAAAGAGAGTCTGACACGGAAATAACTTCCAAATATGAGCGCTCAATGAAATCAGCAAGGGCTTCCTGGGGCATGATGAAGGAAGATGCGTTTACACGGGACTCTTGAGAAGCCGATCTTGATCCCCGTTGGGTATGCAAAATTGAGGACCAGAATTTTTCAAGATCTGATGTAGAACACGAGCCCTGCAGACATACCCTTAAATCTCCCAACGAAATAGTTTCTTTTGAAAACCACTTGAAAATTTTTTGAGAACGATGCAGTGCATGCCGTCTAATTTCAGAATGATGCCGTGTATCTTTTTTATCGCTACGCTGCTCTTGGGGGCCGGAAGATTCTGTTTGCGTTGCTCCAGCTGGGGAAGAGCCACCAGAAGTGGGTTCCGTGGTTTTGAGAAACGAATGCTGTTGGAGCATTTCCGCATTATACGGGGCCGTTGTAATTGAATTTGAATTTGCCGAAAATTGGGTTCTCGAGCTGCCTTCGAAAGTTGTCAAGATCCTTTGTGCAAGTCGATTAAAATCAGCCAGGTCATCCTGCATTTGAAGTGGGTTAAAAACTGGAGCCATGGCCAAGGTTTGATGAAGGCCAGGGGGGTCTGGAAGAACAATAGTAGGAGATTCTGGAATCGACTGAGAATCAGGCCCCTTAGTTGGCGTGTCTTCTTCTTTGTTGAAAGACTTTTCTACTGCAGGTAAATTTTGACTTGGCGCCCTTGCAGAAAAGCCTGCCGGAATTGTTGATGTGGCTGATGCTGTTGTGGTAACCTGAATATTAGCTTGGGATGGCTTAAGCCATCCACCAGCAGAAACAAGTGCTCTTCTTGGACTTTCAAAGAGAGAAGCAAGTCGAGAAGAATCAGAACGGGGTTGAAGAGAAGAAGAAAGCCGTTTTCTCATTTTATAAGATGCTCTAGCTGCCTCTTCCAAAATGTCTAACATACGATCTGCAAACAATGCATCTCTAACACGAGCAATGTAATTTGAATAGTTGAATGCCATCGCCATTGAAATGATTGCGTAGTTTTTGTATGCAAACAAAAGGGTTCCTAGCACCAAAGCAAATAGAAATTTGTTCAATGACACATGAATATTTCCTATGCGCTCGTCGGCAGAAGGTATTGTGAAGATATGTTCAAGATCAACATTATTTAAACACACAACCAATGTGCAGACATAAGTAAACAGTGCAACATACTTTTGAGAGACAGATAGAAAATGTCTAGCTCGAGATCTGGCAAGAGAAGGGTGTTTGATTTTAGAACCGCTAATAGGAGAGGATGCGCCCAGAATCCAAATTATTATTCTAATGAAAACATTTGCAAATGGAATGCCAAGGATAATTATGGTCAGAATAGGAAGCCACAAGTGGATGGAGGGGATTGGGTTGTCCATGGTCGCCTCCGATGGCTGCTGGAGCCAGTAGGGAAGGGGAAATGGAAGTGGCAAAGATGATAGCAAAAGAGGAGAAAGTAAAATGAGCGCCAAGCTTATTAATTTAATGACTTTCCATAAAAGCTGAAGGCCTAAATTTGACTGTGCTGACGATGATGAATCCTTCAGAAAAGTATCAGAAAGCTGGGGCGCAACCGGAGAACTGTCCGGATTGGGAATAACCCCAGTTATTCCAACTGCAAGAGAGGCCGGATCGGTTTGGCTGGAGGCTGAGGGTCCAACGTTGGGCGATATATTTTGTGTCGCCAGGTATGAGCGCAAAGTTTTTTCGGTCCACGTATCAGAAGGCATTGTTTCAAATTTAAATAATTGCCAGCTTCAATTTATAAAGTAATTTAATTTTATGAATTCAAAAGAAAAATCGGTGCTTTCTTTTTACACGCTAGCTGCCAATCTCTATTGTAGCGTTGCCTCCAAAAAATCTACAATTACATCGCTTGCTTTAGCCAGTAATGTAAGGCAAAAAAAGCAAATGTATGCCTTGCTTAAGCAATGCCACAAGAATATTTCTCTCATAGTGCAAATTGCGGAGAGAGCCAACATTTTTAATGATGCCACTATCAACCTCTGTAAAAAAGACCACTCTCTTACGTGCATTTTGATACATGACCTGCTTTGGAATTCTGAACTCTGCCGAAATAAAGGGAAAATGGCCATTTTTTTGGCTGCATTTCCTCGCATTGATTCATGTAAAACCAGAATTCGAGCTGAATGGACTCGTCTTCTTGTAGCCGGAACTGCATATAAGGGTCCCTGTTTAGATTCACTGAAAATCAAATATGCCCGGATAAATACTCTCCTTTGCGCTGAATCTGATTCTTCCAAGGTCATCGATTATTTGAGAACATTGAACCCAGGCCCTATATGCATCGACAGTCTTATTCCAAACTTGATAAAGTTTGAGAATATTCCTGCAACGTTTCAATTTCATCGATGTCCTCTTGTTAAGGAGGGAAAGCTTATTGTTCAAGTAAGACTACAATTCTTGATTATAGGATAGAGCAAGTTCACTACCGGCTCTCTTTTTAGATCCTCCGCATGGGTCAGTTGTTCTCGATGCATGTGCCGCTCCTGGCAATAAGACCACACAGCTTGCTGCAATAATGGCCAATTCCGGTACGATATCTTCCTTATCAATCCAGGTACCATAATTGCTGTTGAACAAAATTTAAAGCGCTTTGAGCTCTTAAAATCCAATATTGCGCTTGCAAGTGCATCTGCATCGACTCTGTGTGTTAATGCCGATTTCCTACAAATTAATGTCGAAAAAGACCCTTATAAAAAGGTAAGATATTTATCCAAGTTTAGGTGGAATATATCTTGTTAGATCCTTCTTGTTCCGGGTCTTGGATGAGTTCCAGAGATGAGGATGCTTGGAACACAGGATCCTCAAGCTCTCGTGTTCCCAAGGAAGAGCTTGATCAACGGATCGGAAAGCTTTCTGCTTTTCAAGAGATGGCTCTTGAAAAAGCAATGAAATTTCCAAATGTCAAAAGAATAGTCTATTCAACATGTTCGACCAATGAACAAGAAAACGAAATCGTCATCGCCAATGTATTATCAAAAAATCCCAATTTTGTTCTCAAAGACATCCCTACTTTCCTTTCAAGCTGGAGTCGAAGAGGAACTAATGGCCTTCCAACAGGTTTTGTTCTTATATAACTTTAGCATTGCTCCAAAAGGTTCTAAGAGCGGATCCCGTTGAGGATCAATGTCATGGATTTTTTGTTGCCTGTTTGGAAAGGATAATTTCAACTTGATCTTTAAATTAAAATTTAGACTCTAATCGATAGACTTTATGCATTTTTGTCAGTAGATTAACAGCAGCCAAAGCCTTAAAAGACCATGTAAATTCAACAGTTAAGTTAAAAGTATGTAAAGCCAAGCCCTTAAATCAAGGTTCTCACATGGAAATAACATTCTTACATCATATTTTAGGATATTTAAACCCTTCCCTCAATATCTAATTTGATGTTCTTATAGAAAGCGAGATCCACTGCCTCTTATAAAATAGATGATTTTTTACGATCAATGATTAAATCTATTTTTATCGAAAAGCTAAGTTTCTTTGAATTTTGATAGAAGCTTGGACACAGAACCCTTTATACTAAATACTTCTGGTGGCGGAATACGATTAAATTTTAATTTACGGTTTAATCCTAACCATAACCCTAAATTATGCTCTAATAGCCCCAAGAACTAGATGCGGGATTTCTCGGGTGGACAAAACGGGAAATTTTTCGTGTTTAATTAAGATCAACACGGCACCTTTTAGGTTTTTATAGGCGCTATTTATATGAAAAATCCGTTTGGGGTCTGTTGAAGTTGCTCTTACTGTGATCAAAAAGATCGTCTCAAAGCCAATCACAGAAGAAAAAATATATATCCTAATGGAATATATAGTATCGGAAACATAGCCAATTAGAAAATGAAAACATTCATATACAAACTAATGGAATGGTTCTTGTGTGAATGTCGTTTCAAATACACCTTCAGGGCTCTTTTCCATAATTGGCTCCTGATCATACTTTATTTAATCTCTGCCATTCTAATATTTCTGTTGGCTAGATTCGCACGTTTAGACATTAATGCAAAAAATGCAGACACACTTGCAGGCCATAAGAGAAAAAGTAGGTTTTGTTGCAGCACCAAAAAGTTTTCTGCAACGCACTCTCGGTAGAAATGTGTGAACAGGAGCCAATTATGG